GCTGTTTGCATTTTCGTCATTTTTTCTTTTTTTGCCATGGCGTTTTCAACTTGTCTTTCGACTTATGAGTTTGAATATCCTTTGGTTTTCCTCATCCAAATTTTATGCATACACAATGCTAAGAACGATACTCGCAGACAGAGTTTGAATTTGAACAGTGAGTCAATTACGGTTCTAGAGTTATGCCCGTTCTTATCTAGGACAATTGCAAAGCTTGAGCGGGGGCATTCGTGTCCTCAGACACAATTTTCTTTTATTTTTTATGTTGTGTTTTGTGAACTGCTGTTTGCATTTTCGTCATTTTTTCTTTTTTTGCCATGGCGTTTTCAACTTGTCTTTCGACTTATGAGTTTGAATATCCTTTGGTATCTCCCACCTCTCTTTTATAGATTAAAAAGCAAATAAGTACACTAGAATACTTTTCAAAATCGACATTGTTGACAAACGCTTAAAAAATCTTTAATGTGATAGATACGGTAGTTCTATTATTTATATCCATTTAAAAAAAATCGCAAAATACTATACTATGCACCTGTTGATACCAAAATTGAATCCACCATCGAAGCAAACATTACTCTTGATATGTCATATTGACCTATATTGGGACGACATAAGTGTACATTCTTCATATTCATCTTATGCAGCAAGATTTTGCTACATCGACTGAAATATTTATTTTAGAACAAAACACCCCTCCACCAAAAAAACCAACACTAAACCCTCTAAAAACCAAAGAACAAGACCAAATTACGCGAAGCCAACTTAAGAATTAAAATCTTTCAATTCTCAAGGGGTAATTTCTTTTGTCGTATTGTCGCGGTTTAAATGTTCGAACAAGACTTCTCATCAATTGGATTTCGTTGATGTCGGTAAACCTAGTTTGTGTTGCTGTTGAAATTTAGAATCACAACATTTCATTGTGACAGAAAATAAACAATACATCAAATGTATGAACAAAAGGAAATAAAGATAGGTATGTATGTTTATTCATGGAAGTATTATAATACTTCCATGGTTTATTTAAGAGGTACACTAGGTTTTCTGGCAGGAAAAATATGTCTATGGACCTTTCATAGGAAATAGATAGACATAAAAGAATGTTAGAAAAAAGCTGTTGTAAAATTGTAGCTTCAATATTAAGGATTTGAAAACATTGTTTAAGAAGTATATTTACATACATATTTCGTATTCAGGATATCAGGAAAATTTGAGGAGCAATGATCCTGAATATGATTGCTTCCATTTACTATTCAGTTATTTCACTGATATAGGGAATTAAAAAAACAAACACGCTTTTAAATGTGTCGTGTTTTATTCACAGAGGTTCTGTACCAAATGATGGAATGTTCCAACAAAAGATGTCTCCATTTTGTTCTATGCCAAAAATACGATGCGATCCTTCGATGAGATTCCGTACTGTTGATGGTAGTTGCAACAATCTTAATTTCCCATTACGTGGAAAATCTCATATAGCACAAGAGAGATTTTTGCCTCCCGAATATGGCGACAGTAAGTTTTATTAATTTTGTTTTATTGTCTTCCTGTCTGAAGATTTTTTTTATTTGCTTTTCAAGTGATGAAAATATATAAGATATCTATAAAATAAAATATTTGATTTCATTCAAAAAGATTAAGGTTCTAAATGCATTTTCTTTTGTTTTGCTAAAGGAAAAAGTAATATTGCCACAAGAAATTCTTGTTTTTAATTGATGAGTTTGTTAGTGTAAATAATATTACAAACACATTTTGGAACTACCGGAAAGAGACCATTGATATCAAATTGCTGAGTTTAAATCAGCCTCATTGTGTAAGTTAACATTTAGCAATGCTGACAGTCAATTCGCCGTTTCAGAATCTAAAGAATTATGGTTAAAAGTCTATTGGTCATACCCCTAAATAACCTAACATCATTGGATGCATTTTCATTGTTTAGAACGATGTTAACCAATCACTAGAAGACACATGTTGACTATGTAAATTTCATATAATCATTACACTTTACTTTCAGAATTTAATCTAGGTTATGTTCCAAGAATCCACAGTAAGCTTGGTGGGCCACTACCAAATCCTAGGTATATCTCCAATACGCTTTACACTTTTGGACACAGTTTACCGAAAAGTCCGTTGTTTAATGTTGCCTTGACCACATTTGGACAGTTTTTGACACATGATGTTAGTTCAGTTCCTTTAATCAGAGGTAAGAATTGACAGCAATCTAAAGAGAAAAAAATCTGCGTCTTACGTCAACCATACCTTTTCTCGCGGAATAGTGGAGAATGCAGTAAAGCTCCTTATTGTTGAGGAGCACCTCCTTTCAAATCAATCTTTAGATGGGGTTTACGTTGTTCAGTCTATTGATTCTATCTTATGTTTTGGGATATAAATAGTGTCTTTTTCGTCTTTTAACATATGGTAATGTGCTGAAGGCTTTACATTGCTAACAAAAATGTTATAACACAAATACCTCCAAGATAAATATGAAAAGGGGAAGTCCATAAAAATTGACAAAACCAAAAGCTCGACTATATGAACTAACTACACGACTAAAAATCAACTGACTTGGTACAGGCATTTTCTAAGAAAATGATGGGTTAAACCTGGTTTAACAGCTAGTTAAACCACCCTCTTGAATTACCTTAGCTGTATTTGGCAAAACTTTTCGGAATTTTAGGTCCTCTATCCTCTTCAACTTCGTACTTTTTTTATTTGAGCGTCACTGATGAGTCTTTTGTAGACGAAACGCGCGTCTGGCGTAAAAAAATCAATCCTGGTATCTATGAAGAGTTTATTTAAATGAAGTTGACTATAGTTCCGTTTTATTGACAATAATAGACATACTAGTAATTGAGTAACGTGACAATAATTTGGATCCTCAAAATTGTGTTCACATACATCATAGATATATGATATAATTAGATAAAATAATTAAAAAAAAAACAATCAAGGACTGCATATAAATGTAACAAAGACACCAACAAAAAAGTTTTTGTAATTGATAGTAAAATATAATGTAGTTTTGTAAAAAATTATGACATGCACACACTATCACGATGAAATACAAAAATAACAAGTAAATACGAGGGTACACAACCTTCAAAGATAAATTTAAAAAAAAAATTGAAAACAAGTTAAATGATACAAAACGTCATTACCTAGAATCAATAACTCAAAACATTCTGCATTAATGTGAAGTTGACACTGCGTATTTATCTGTAAGTTCTTGGTACCTTCAGATGAACTTTTTGAGAAAAAGGACGAGATATTCTTTGACAAAAGCATAGATCATTAACATTTTGCTCAGACGCAGATGACGTTATAAAAAGTTTGAGTAGTAGCTGCAAGCCAGAATATTGTTTCAGTTGAGAAATTTATACTCCTTAAACGGTTAAAGTTTGTATATTGCTGCTAACGTGAGGAAAATTTATAATTTCAAAATTGAAATTGTCCGTTTGTCATAGACTCTAGTACTGAAATGACCGCAGGCGTCAAATCGCGGTAATTGATTCAAGTGAAGCAGAGAAAGCAGACGACAACCTGCTGGATTTAAAAAAAATAAAGGTTCTTTAGAGTTTTGTTTAATTTGTGACTTTCCTGTGGCTACTCGATGTATTACTTTATCCGTTCATATATTTTCAATTTTCTGTTAACATATGTATCTATGTATTTACTTATTAGTTTCTTTTATTAGTTGTTCATGCTGTAATAGGCTTTGAACTGGCTGTCAGTAACTGCGAGCATTTTCAGATCTGTACTTTGTGATTTTTTGTTATTACATACCCTGCCACGTCCGATCTGTATTTTTGTTACTTGTTTTTCTGCTTCGTATCGATCTGATGAGTTAAGCCCTTTTCAACTGATTTTTAAAGTGTATTCTTATGTTGTGCTATAACACTACTGTCCCATGTTATTGGGATGGTTGAGCGTTCAGAAGCATGTTTAACCCCGTCACATTCTTTATGTGCCTGTCCCAAGTCGGAAGCCTGTAGTTCAGTGGTTGTCAGTGGTTCATGTCTGGCATATTTGCTTTTCGTAAATTTGTTATAAATTAGGCCGTTAGTTTTCTCAATTGAATTGTTTCATATTTTTGATGTAAGGGGCCTTTTATAGCCGTATGGGTATGGGTTTTCTTGGAGGCCGTACGGTTGCCTATAATTACTTACATCCACTTCTTTTGAAAGGTGGTGGATAGTTGTCTCATTGGCAATCATATCACATCTCCTTATTTTTATGTTTATGCATATTTTGATATCATGATTAAAACTGAATTATTGCTAAAAAGACAATTCAACAATAAGTCTGCCTCATATCTTTACTTAAATCTAGAAATTGACACGGAAGTCGGTTGAAAACAAAAAGAGATGATTTCAGCTTTCCATTTCTATTTCTATGTAGCACCATTCAATCAGCGCCTACATACGGAGTATATAACTCCCAATTGATATGATATTCCAGAGCTTGCGTTTCCTATCATGATTTCATTTTCAGAGAGTTTCTTATACAAGGAAGCTGTTAAACCAAGAGTTCCAAGTAGTGAAGTTGAAGTCATTCCTTCGATGATTTTACAGACGCCATCCCGATTTGGTTGACCGTTATGGAATATCTATTTCACAGATGACGGATACGTTCTAGTTGTCGTAACCACATTCTCTTTTTCTTTTCCTCGAATGTGACATCACCAATTTAAACTTATCACCAAATTTGTACTTGCATGATCAACATGACGGGTTTCGCATGTTGAACATGATATGCTTACCCTTCAGATCACCTAAGATCACCCCCGGTTTTTGGTATGGTTCGTGTTGCTGACTGCAGTCTTCAGTTTTGTTTGTTGTGTTTTGTATACTGTTGTTAGTCTTTCGGTCGTTTTTCCTTTTTTGCCATGACGTTTTCAGTTTTTCGTCGACTTATGAGTTTGAATATCACCTTGATATCTTTCGCCTTTTTTCTATAAAGGAGAACATTGTTTTCTTATTCAGGTAATCCAGATATAGAATGCTGTGATGGCAATAAACCAATTTCCAGGTAGGTTAATCTTTCACACATGATCAAATTTGTCGTTTATCCTACAAAACATTATAATTAAGAACATATAAACAATTATATTCCTCCGTTTGCACGCACTAAAACCAAAATATCTAATTGACTAGGTGAAAAATAGTTTGTATGCAAACTTTTGTCAAAAATCACCGTGGGATCAAAACTGTATCGTATGCCCTTAATCGTACTAATCGTGTACGTTAAAACTATTTTCTCACTCAAAACGAGGTTGTACCAGTTTTTCTCTTTAAACGACTACCTACTATTTTCTCACTCAAAACGAGGTTGTACCAATGTTACTCTTCCAACGACTACCTACTATTTCAGAAGAATATTGTACTATTACCAGCATAATAGAAATTAAAAAAAACCTCTTTAATGTTAAGTTTCAACAAGGTGTAACTTAAAATATTTTGCTGTGCCTTTTCTTAGAGTGTTATTTATTTTTAGACCTGAATGTTTTTCATTCAAAGTTCCAAAAGGTGAATTCGAAACAACGTGTATGAGTTTTGTCAGATCAGATTCAGCGCCGTACAAACAATGTGGACCAGGTATTATCATTTGCATAATGAGAAAAAGAAACAAACTTAAGGTTAAAATTATAATTCAGGAAATCTGTTTTCTTTTTAAGGCTGAATGAAATATTTAACTTAATGTGTCAAGTCTTAAATAGACCTTATCGCTATTTGGGAATCTGCGATACTTGACCTGAGAATCTGGCGACACTTGAACTTTTGAGGTCATACAACAATTACTCTTCCTTTGTGGCGTCAGACATTTTATATTGTGACGTCAAAATTTTACGGGAACCTTTGTGATGTCCAGTAATGGCGGACATATAGCGATAAGGTGTATTGCACTCCTCAAAATGTAGGCAATTCTGTAGAATTGAAAAAGATATGAAATAAGCAGCAAATTTTGTTATTACACAAACTATAATTTGAAAGCGATATCAACGGAACAATTTTCGCGATATATGGTAGGAACAGACAGTAAAAATGTTTGAAAGGTTTTGAAAGAACGTAATTCTACCCCTATTAGCAGCATCAGAAAACAAATTTGGAAACACGAATAACGTGCTAGAATAGTCAAATCAGATAGAAATCTCCGTTAATCTTTTGGATATATAAATATCTGTCTTTACAAGAAAAATAATTAATATATAAACAGTATCGTATCAAATATGCTTGAGGCTGCAGAAAATTATATTACTTTATCGGTTGACAAGATAACCAATTTCTTTAATACTCGAAAAGTATACTTTTAAGTAGGTCTTTCTTTATTCCTTTTAAAGAAATGACAGAAATGTCATTAAAAGCTTTAGAGACTCACGTGTTTTTTTTGTGAGGCATGTAATTATAGCATAGATTAGCAACTTCTTGAATCATTCGACAAACTAACTTCTTCAGGTACACACAATTTATGAATTTGTATGAAGCATAGGAACACTAGATGACAAACTAAAATTAACGACGGATCTTATGTTGTGTTATCTTTAACAATAAATTCACGTTAGTGAAAAGTTCTACAAATGAGGCCAATGATATGGCTTTCGTGAAATTCTTAGTTCAGTTAAGACATGTATACTTTGTGCTATATGCCATTTTGTTTTTCTTTGTTGGCATATTTGTTTGTTTTTGTAGTGATTAAGATTAAAACACAATGTTGACTTTTGTACCCTTATTTTTTTACATTTTTACCTATTATGTCTGTTTGTTTTGTTCACACAGTGTTGTCAATATAATGGAATTTTATGCGACTGTCATACAAGTGAGAGGTTTAGCTTGCTATAAAACCAGATTTAATCCACCATTTTCTACATAGGGAAATGCCTGTACCAAGTCAGGAATATAACAGCTGTTCTCCATTTGTTTGATGTGTTTGAGCTTTTGATTTTGCTATTTTGTAAGAGACTTTCCGTTTTGAATTTTCCTTGGAGTTTGGTATTTTTGTTATTTTACTTTTTTTGTAGGTGAAAGAAATCAGATGAATCAGGCCACATCCTATTTAGATTTATCTGTTGCATATGGAAGTACAGAAGAAGATACGTCTCGGATTGTTGACCAAACCACAGGTTAGTAATCTAGTTATAAACACTCAAAAGATCTCAGTCCACAGGCAAAATAACAGTGTGTAAACAATAGCAGTCTATTTAAATGTTAAAAATATTCATCATTTCCAAAAACATCACATATGGTTGAAAATACCGGTAATTTGATTTAGAAATAGTTCTATTTATCATTTTGTGAACTTATTTGACCAACCATGATCACAAGTACAAGTAAGAAAAGTATAACCTTCTACCTTTAGCGTATGAGTGTTTGAAATAAGGTAAATTAAGGCGGCAGTAGTTTACCGATGTTCAAATCTCGTCAATGTATTAGGAAGAGACAAATAAAGAAAACTAACAGAAATTGAAGGAATCGAATGAACTCCAAAAGGAGCGAGACCGGGTGCGTAAACAGGATACGCGTCTCCTATTATACATGCAATACCCGCCATGGAAATTCACACTTAGTCAAAATGTCACAATCGGTAAAAATTAAAGATCAGACTACTATACTGGTAACTAAATATATTAGACCAGGAAAATATGTCGCTAGTGAGTTTAGACACAGACACATCGTATCGATCAACCAATTCGTGATGGTGACCGTAAAACTTATGTACTGTCGATTTCAGTCGTTCTTCCTCATAAATCTGTTGGAGCAGTTTTTGTGTAAGGAGCACATACCTGTTAACAAAGTCTGTATAGTGTACATTCACGGGCATAACGTATTAACTGAGATATGTAAACACCATACGATGGAGCTAGGGTATGTAATTGCTGAGAAATGGGAAGTTGACGATTGGAAATTTGAATCATCACGTTTGTCAGAAAATGCGATAAAATTCGCAAAAATAGGATACGTTTTACTTTGATTTAATTCAAAATAAGTACTGGAAAAGGAAATTATTTTCTACCGACATTTTAGACCACTTTTTAGTCCTACTGGCTTCTAGTCTCACAATGCTTTTCTTCATTTTAGGAAAACTTGTCAGTGGTGGTCCAAAGGGCTGTCTTCTTCCTGATGGACCTTCCGAGGATTGTATGGGTAATTCCGGATGTTTCTTTTCAGGTGAGTCAATATTATTAAACTAAGGACGTAAGTTTATTGCCATTACAGAAGTTGTTGATTGATTGATTGTTGACTGCTTAAAATTAAGTGGTAACTATATACAGAAAATAGAAAACCTTCTATTGTGGAGGAAGAAAACGTTCTTCAATTAGGATTTGCCTTCCTTTTGTTTGTTGATAATAATGTATCGAATATGCAGACAGTTAAACACGTACAAATTAAACTCTATCTCTGCGCAATTACGAATTGTCAGTTTCCTGCTAAAAGGGGGATTGATTTATTGATTGGTGACTTCTTCACGCCGCATCAGCACGAAAAGGGGTATATCGCGGCGAGCGCTATTTATATATTTAAAAAAAGGCAGTTTTAAAAATCAGACAAAAAGTATTTTGATACTAGTATACTAAAACATTAATTTAAAGCGAACTTACATGAAAAGCAATACAAATCAAAACACTGGACGACCGTGGAACAAATATGAACTCAGCGACAACTATTTTGATAATGATTGTCAGCATATAAAGAATACATTAATTTTTTTGACATGACAATATATCATAACTCTGAAAGTGTGTAAACTGGGCCGATTAGCTCACAGACTGATTCAGACTTTTATGTTAAGTTATTATTAATGAGTTTAATCATTATTATTCTCAACACAGACATTTGTAATTTTTAAATTTCAACTTACTTCAATCAGGAAAAAACTTAACGGACCAATCACATTCATGTTTTTGTAGATATGCAAATCAGAAAAAAATATGTCATTTTGTACAATACTTTTAACATTAAAAGTTCATTTTGTTTTGTATCACAACATGACCTTCTGAAGTTGAAGGTGTAGCGTATCATGCATTGACCTATAGTAGTTCAGTAATATTGTCATTAATTTTCGGTTTTAAGGTTAAACTAAATAAATTCCAGTTTGTAGCGTTAATCCTAGCAAAGTCTGTTTATTTCTAAGTCACAAGCCAGATTTACTCTATTTAAGAAAGGATGCTTGATAGTCCATTTTTTATTGAAGATTTCAACATGGAAATGCACTACGGTCGTCAAAATTTCACTCAAATATCGCGATTGGTAAATTTACAAAACTATAGGATCTACCTCTATCAAAATTAAAGACAAACAAAAGACTGCAAAAAATATTTCGATTTAGTAACAAAATGTTCTAAAATTGATCTATATTTGTCTTTTCTCTGACAACTTCATTAGTAAAATTTAATGTTTTTTGTGTGTACAAAATGTGTTGTGACGTTATCAATATCTTCCAGTAATGATTCATTTAATATTTAAATTTGGAACATACATTAAAGGAAAAACGAGCTGTAATATAAGAATTGTCATATATTTCGATAAGAATCGTCTGTTTATAAAAAGTGTCAACATCCCTTTTTCTTATGTACATATAAGACCTCATCATTTCTGTGAGAGTAGGTCGAACGAAGAAGTACTACACTGAAATAATTTTATATCTAAAGTGTTCTTCTTTCAGCGTGATCAAAAGTACGATCAATTTCATACACATTTAATTCACTCCAGTGCCATTTTCAAAACGTCTTCCAATATTTACTCTTAAATTCAAAGTATCATGACTTCCTGAGTGAATTTGATATTTAAGAATTTTATGCTATCTCCTAATATGTAAATAGATGCAATGTTTGCACACTTATTCAAGGAGTGTACTTGGTATTCTGGACTGAATTGGATATTTTTCTAGGTTTTTAATGTATGGAACCTTGCATTTTGTTAGAACTAAAACACAATCAAAATACAGATTCGTATACATGTGTATTGTCCGTACATAGCAATTTGTAAAATGGATAGGAATTCCACCTATTGTACACTTTGCAGTTTGTAGAGACATCTTATAAATACATGTTTATGCCATCACCATGAAACTTAGATCAAGCTTTTTGTTTGTTTTACTGTGCATTGTTGTAATGTAGTAATGGAAAGCTAGTGGTCCGGGAACACAGTTATCGTCCTTTGACTTGTCTACAAATATAGTCCCTCGTTTGGACAGTTGAATACTTGCCAATTTTTTTCTTCATGTTTTATGCCTCAAATAGCAAGTAGGGGGATGAAATTACACTGTAAAAATCTTTTGGCCATGAATTTTACAGTAAAGTAGTGATTCGGTCCAGTTGAAAAAGGTAAAAAAATAGTATATTTGAAGCTGTCAAATAGAATTCAAAACCCCCTTAAGGCATCTTGGATTTTGAAGTAGCAGAAAACAATTGGTCTAGATCTTTAATGAAATGTGCAAATTTTGAGAGTAATATGTAATTCATGTTTAAGACTTTTCATGTTAATATAGAAAATTATGTTTTTTATCATATTTACGGCTAAAAAACACAATATTTTTGTTTGGTTCTTTATTTTCAACTTTGCAATATAAGGGGAGATAACTCAGATAGTAGGGGAGATAACTCAAATAAAGTAACTTTTATAATAGAAAGTGTTGTGTATTTACCTATTTTAATATGTAGCAAGAAAACAAGTCCGGTGAAAGTCCAAATGTTCATATTTTGAGTTACAGCTGATGGAGAAAGTTTTCTACAATGTTCATACATTTTGTCCCAAAAGTAGTACATCACACTGTGAAAAATGTTTTGAGAAGTGCCTGTGCACCTTTTATTTTTTCTGATTTATTTTCTAAAAGAAATGCACCACGAAATAACTGTGTTATCGGGTCTAGTGCTGTAATCGATGTTACATTTTATTATATGATAACGGGATCTTATGAAGCAGTTTTAAAAGTTCCTAATGGATTGATTTCTTTTCTATGAGAAAAAAATTCAATAACTCGAGTAAAAGTGTATGGATCTCTATGAAATTTTAGCACAAGGTTCCATACCACAATGCAAATGGATTGTTTTTGGGGGTAATGACCCAAACCGTTTAGGAATTAGGGGCCGAAAAGGATAAAAAAAACTAGGATTTTCTGGTTTCTGGACAATAGATTGAGTGAAACTCTATGGATTGCTATTCGATTGTGCCACAAGGTTTTATACCATTAAAGGAAGGTTGGGTTCTTTGATATGCTAAATCTTACAGTGTAATTAGATTTTTTTATTTTGGGACCGGTTTTCAAAATGGTCTACAGTGGGGTCCAAAAATAAAATTTGTTTGATTTCAACAAAACTTGAATGTATGGGGTTCTTTAATATGCTGAATCTAAATGTGTATTAAGATTTTGGATTTTGGGCCCTGTTATTAAATTGGTCCATGTTGAGTTCCAAGGGTCAAGTACCGTTGGATATTGGACCATAATAGGTAAATGCCCAATTTCTAATTTTTAAGTTCTTAAACAAAAGAGGGACGAAAGATACCAGAGGGACAGTCAAACTCATAGATCGAAAACAAACTGACAACGCCATGGCCAAAAATAAAAAGACAAACAGACAAATAATAGTACAGATGACACAACATAGAAAACTAAAGACTTAGCAACACGAACCCCACCAAAAACAACCTTCATTTTGTGTCAGAAACTTTGCTATGTGAAATATATAATCACAATCCAAATTCAGTGCTGTATTGCACAATTAATAGAAATTGTAAGTAAAGTCATAGTTAAAAATATATATAGCATCAAATCAACCTAATTTTAGATAAGACATTATGAATAAATATATTTTGAAATTTAATCTACATTATTAGATATTTTGAATATAGTTAAAGGTAAGTTTTGTAGTTTTTTAATGACTTTGTATTCAGTCTTAAATCTGTAAAACCCATCAGAATGAAAGTTTCATATCTTCTCTCAATTATGAAATGGTTAGGTAGAGCTGTAAATCTGTTATTTCATGCTGATAAAGGGACCGATATTATTACTTAACAAACAGATGTTTAAAACAAAAAACTGAGTTTGTTAACATGAAGGGATGATTGTGTCCAGTTTCTGATATTACCACTCCAGGACAGGAACAATAAAGTTAATTAAAATTTTGTTTATTTTAACATTTTAAAGCTAATCATGGAGATTAAAAATTAAAATGAATGAAGGAAAGTGTGTAATGTATTATTTCCCTACACATTAGCTAATGTGTGTATTTGTTTGATTATTTTGTAATTCTTTGTTTGTTATATTTCAATGTATTTCATGAGAGCCTCAGGGAAGATTAGTCTACAGCTTACTGTGTAACCCTCTTTAAATAAAGCATTATTATTACTATTAAAGAAAATTGAAATTTTATTTTGGCTTCCTATAAAAACTTCACACAATTTGTGTTACATATTTACATTTGTAATTAACTAAATATTCACATTTATTAATATGGATAAGTGTTGTGCATTAACTATTAATTCATTCATGCAGCAATTACCACCTATTATTAAGAAAACAAAACATGTGGTATTCATCAACAAACATACTTATAATTGGAGTGACAAATTTATTTGAAAATTTTGTGTTTTCTAAGTGGTATGACTGATAAGCTGATTTTCAATCCATCATCATTTTGATGCGATTTTGTAGGACTACATCAATGAGAAATGATATTTTAGAAATTGTTTTTTTTTCATAATTGTGGGAATTGTTTTTAAGAACTTCGTGATAGGTTTGTTTGTTATTCTGCATAAATTAATTTTCGGAATTCTCTCTCTCTCTCTCTCTCTCTATATATATATATTGATGAAGCGAACCCCTTGAAAAACTTAGCTTATATTGTCCATTAATGAATAGATTAATTAAATTCTTGGTGTACTTGGATATGCTGAATCAGTCCATTTCGGGGTTCAAAATTAACCTTTGTTTGATTTCAACAAAAATTGTATATATGGGTTCTTTGATATTCTGAATCTAACCTTGTATTTAGATTTTGAATTTTCGGTCCTGTAATCACATTGGTCCACATTGAGGTCCAAAGGGTCCAAAATTAAACTTTGTTTGATTTCATCAAAAATTCATTTCTTGGGATTCTTTGATATGCTGAATCTAACCGTGTATTTAGATTTTAGACCATAATAGGAAAAAGTCCAATTTCAAAATTTTCAGTTCTTTAACCACATTTATTCTGTGTCAGAAACCTATGATGTGTCAAATATTTAATCACAATCCAAATTCAGAGCTGTATCATGCTTGAATGTAGTGTCCATACTTGCCCCAACTGTTCAGTGTTCGACCTCTGCGGTCATATGAAGCTGCGCCCCGCGGAGCGTTTTATTACAAATACAGAATATATTTTTGTTTGATTCAATTTTATCAACTTTACTATAGAAAGGGAAATAATTTATCATATGTAACTTTTATAAGGGAATGTGTTCTTGATTTACCTATTTTGTTTTGTAGCAGGAAAACGAGTCCCGTGAACTAAATTTTTCTTTTTATTTTCTAAAACCATATAGTTCGAGAAACCTTCTCATATTTTATCTTAAAATTCAATTTTTTTGGTTTTCTTTATATCAGACAAAATTGTGTTTTCCATGTATAATCTTTGCAAAATCTAACAATTTTGCACAGCCTGTAGCTTGAAAAACTCCCCGTGACCCATACTTTTCATTATATTTTTGAAAAAAAGCATGATATAAACTACTTTACTGCAAATCATTACAAAATTCAATGAATTTTAATTTAGACGCCCCATCTACCTTAAGCTATTTACAATGACATACTTAGGTTAGGATGAAGTTAAACGATTATGAAAATTTAAGAAAGTGGGCTTTCAACAAATTAGTATCTTCGTTTGTTTATGTTTCCATGATTTGATTGGAGGTCCAATACACAATGACAGACCACATAGAAATAATAATAACCTTACCCTATATAGATTACTGGATATTGGTTAGGTTTGTTTCCCCCTTTATGGCTACACTCCTTCCTACCGTTCCATATCACATCATAACCAGCACACAGTATGATATACAAATCTTTTAACAATCTGCCATAAGTATATGAGTAAATTTATAAAGGGAATTCTGAGATATTTGGTCATTGAGTAACCTTGATCTGATATTGTTTATATTTATGAAGGTTTCTTGATTTGTACGTTTTATTTTAGCCACATTCGTGCATTTTTCCGTACAATGTTTATGTTCTTACGTCACAGCTAGAGTTGATCGTTCGATGACGTCATCTACACCGATTGACCTAGGGTAACTCATTCATAAAACAGCCCAATCAGCTGACAAACAATAAATTTATATTTTACAACGGGTGTGTGATCAAAGCGTTTAAATAACGTCATATAAGTATTTTTCTTAGATTTTATGCGTTTGAAATATTGTAACCGAATGTTTCATTTTCATTAGATAACTGTTTCTGTTTCATTTTGATAGCAAGCAATCAATTGACTTTTTTATATGTTTTCTATCTGTTGATAATTGAAGTTCCATAGTTTACTGCATTACTCAGGTTACTAATATAGTCAAATCCCAATGGTATGTCAAATGTTTTGCAACTGATAATATTGGCATGTACCGAAATGTCTGTAAATGCATATTACAATACTTTCTTTTATGAAACCTTTTTGTGCTAATATCTAATGAAATTAAATGAAACCGGAGAAGAAAAAAATACCAATTATAAAAGTGGAAGGGAATTTCCATTTCAGGAGATACAAGACATTCAGAAGTTCCAGAGCTTACCACATATCATATCCTTTTTCATCGTGAACATAACAGAATAGTCGACATTCTTTGTAAATTGAATCCACATTGGACTCCAGATCGCCTGTTTCAGGAAACAAGGAAAATATTAATAGGAATATATCAACATATCGTTTACAATGAATACTTGCCAATTGTACTAGGAAGAGGCCTAATGAAAAAGCTCGGCATACTGCCAACAACTAAAGGCTACAATACACGATATGACAAAAATATTGATGGAACCATTCGTAATTCATTTCCTGTAGCACCTTTACGTTTTGGACATGCACAAATTATCAACCATCTCGGATCGGCTAACAAAGACCGAAGTTTAAGAGCCAAAATTCCACTAGAACAAAATTTTTTCATAACAAGAGCTACTCGCGACGAGAAATTATTTGGAGTTGATGGAATTAGCAGATGGATGACAACTGAGTTAGGTTTTCACGCAGACAGGTTTATAGCAGATTCAATGAGAAACAAATTATTTGAAACAAGACCAGGAAATGGATTTGATTTGGCAGCAGTTGACATTCAACGTGGTAGAGATCACGGGATACCGTCATATAATGCTTTTAGAAAATTTTGTGGTCTAAAGCCAGCCGGCTTAATTAATTCTGGACCTTTTGGTTTGCCTGATCACGATCCAGAAGCAGCAAAGTTACTTTCTACCATTTACAAGTACGTATATTTTACTATAATAAATAGAAATTAATTAAGATCCTCGAACTTATATGGAAATGTCAATAGAAGCAATAAAATAATGTCTTAATATTTGATATTAATAGTAATATGCATCAAATGTGCATTTTGGCAATTAATGTCTCTTCATTGGTGCTAGAGAGGAGTTTAAGAATAAGACTGAATGAATCAACTAATCCTTTAATCCACACATAGTCAAAATGTCACAATCTGGAATAGAAGTAATGATGTATGCATATGAGGAGACGCCTATCTTGTCGACGGACTTGGTCTCATGATTTTTGGAGTTCATGCCATTCCCTAAGTTTTCTTTTTTTACCTTGATTTGAATCTTCTTAATAGTTTATGAGATTTAAACATCGGTAAACTATTGCTTAAATTTATGATATGTGAACTTACATCAATATACTCTGTCATGTAAATCATTTCTAAATTGACTATTGATTTGAGATTCGCAAATATTCTTTACTGGCTCTGACTAGCCATCTCAAGCAAAATTGATTTAATGTCCAAGTGATGCTTTCAAAATCTTTATCTGCTGCAATCCACTACGTTAAACAATTCTTATAAAACTTTTGTATTAAGTCATGCATAACTATTTGTGAAAGAAACTAAAATTTATTATTGTCATCATTACAATTACTGTCAATTTATTGGTTTAAACTTGCCATGTTTCCTCTTCCTTTAACGTTTGTTTTACTCACAGACATCCAGACGATATAGATTTAATGGCTGGTGGTATTTCGGAGATAAATATGAAAGATGCTTTGGTCGGACCAACTTTTGGTTGTTTGATGGGACTACAATTGATGTACTCCAGAGTAGGAGATAGATTTTTTTATGAAAACGAATTCTTACCAACAGGATTTACTCCAGGTTAGTTACGAAATGATAGTTTCAGACCCATAACTTGACGGATCACGCCATACCATATAGCTAAAAATGACCAAGGTGTAAGAATAAAACGTATAGCACGAGTTTTGTAAAACTTAAATGTCTTTGACAAACTCGACAAACTCTTGGTAGAATATCCATATATGCCGTTAACTTTATATTTTCAATGATGTTTACCAGTGTTCTGTTTAATTGCCATAATTTCACATACGATGCGTTATCGTAGAAAAAGTTGGGGCATCATCCCAGTTTCAAAGAGAATTATCATATTGATGCTTTCAATCTAACATGTCGCACTTTATAAATCTCATGCGTCCAAAGAGCTTTTCTAGATTTATCTGGAACGCTCAAAGCCGAATATTTGAAAGCCAAGGATGTATAAGAAAAGAAATAGATGAAGAGCTGTATGACCAAAAAGGACCTAAAATAACAGCCAAAAAGCGCTTTATTCGTACACAACAGCTACAGACGATATAAATTCCCATTCTTATAATGGAAAGATAACTTCTGAAGAATGTCAGTTTTCAGCAAAGCCAAATGATACAAGATGAATGACGAAAATAATACTTAATAAATCAGGTGTTTCGAAACGCTTTTTCTATTTTTCTGGACATTGGTAAATTAGTTTTTTTCTAGATTTATGAACATATGGTAAATTAGTGTTTTTCTAGATTTATGAACATATGGTAAATTAGTGTTTTTCTAGATTTCTGGACATATGTATGCCCCCACCGTAGTCAAAATGGGCACTAAGTGTTTCCCTTGACCGTCCGTCCATCCGTCCATCCCATTTTCGTTTCCGCACTCTAACTTAAGTTTTTCTCATCGAAATTTTATGAATCTCATACACAATGCTAAGAACTAAAACTCGCATACAGTGGTCGAAATTGTGCAGTGAGTAACTTGCCGTTCTAGAGTTATGCCCCTTTAGAACTTGGAAAATTGCATTTTTTTTGTTTCCGCATTCTAACTTGAGTTTTTCTCATCGAAAATTTATGAAACTCATACACAATGCTATAAACCAACACTCGCAGACAGAGTTTGAATTTGGGCAGTGAGTCACTCATTGCTCTAGAGTTACCTCCCTCTATAACTTGGAAAATTGCAAATGTTTTTGTTTCCGCACTCTAACTTCAGTTTTCCTCGTCGAAAATTTATGAAACTTATACACAATGCTAAAAACCAAAACTCGCAGACAGAGTTTGAATTTGGGCAGTGATTCACTCACTGTTCTAGAGCTACGGCTATTTATAACTTGGAAAATTGCTTACCTTTTTTCGTTTCCGCACTCTTACTTAAGTTTGCCTAATACAAATTTTATGAAACTCATACACAATGCTAAAAACCACAGCACGCAGATAGAGTTCGAATTTTTGCAGTGAATCATTTACAGTTCTAGAATTATGCCCCTTTTTAACTTTGAAAATTGCAAAGCTTGAGCGGGGGCATTCGTGTCCTCAGACACATTCTTTTATTTAAATTAGTGTTTGTTATCTCGTTTTTACAGCACAAAACAAATTAATCAAATGACATACAGGTTTTTCTAGTGGTTTATACAAATAAAACATCTAGTAAAATGTAGAAGTACAAATGTAGTTATAAAAGTTAATATTAGCATTACAGACCAAAGTTAGCCAAATAAAAAATGAAAACTTTTATAAATTTCGTCCATCAAATAATGTGTCATATAAACATCAACATATAATCAGGTATTATTTCATATGTTCGACCCAGATACACAATTTGTTTTTTTTCTGTTTTCAGATCAGCTTGATATAATAAAGAGCCAAACACTGTCATCGTTGTTTTGTAGAAACTTTAAGATGGGCGTAATGCAACCAAATGCTTTTGTATCATTACTTGCAGGGTAAGTTACCGTAACACATTGCTTAAGACATATGTCATAACATTACCTTCATACCGTTGTTAACAAACAATGCATGGCAATGATGTATGGCATTGAGGGCCATATGGCAATTTACTGACAGGGTGGTCATCATAAATAAGCATTTCGTTCGAAGAGGAACTATTCATTAACCTGGCAAAGACATGCCTTAAAATGAACAGTTACCTTGTGAGATAGGACATTAAAAAATCCAGCTCAGCGTGCCAGCCTAAAACAGACGAAACTATCTTCATATAAAATTAAAATGGCATTGCCCTAAAAACATGGGATATTTATCACTAGACAATAGACAATCACCAATCAGTTTATTCGTTTGGCCAATATCCGAATTTTACACATATTTACGCACATAAGATAATACAAAGTTGGTGATGAATGTCAGTTGTCTAATGCGCATCTGGTGCAGTAAAAATTGTACCGTTAATGTTATTGTTTTCTTTCGGCATCTGAAAGTCTGAAAATGAAATGCTCTTTGTTATTCACTTCATTAAACCAAAGTTGTTTGCTCAACAAAACATTTTAATTAAAATATCAGAAAATATTGTAATAAACAATTTTAAAAGAAATTCAAATTAACGTCACATATAAAATGTAAAGAATATTGATTTAATATTCATCTGTTCATAGTATGGATCACATTTCCGACCTGTAAAGTATATTGATCCAATATCCGTCTGTTAATAGTCTGGATCACATTTCCGACCTGTAAAGTATATTGATCCGATATCCACCTGTTAATAGTCTGGATCACATTTCCGACCTGTAAAGTATATTGATCCGATATCCACCTGTTAATAGTCTGGATCACATTTCCGACCTGTAAAGTATATTGATCCGATATCCACCTGTTAATAGTCTGGATCACATTTCCGACCTGTAAAGTATATTGATCCGATATCCACCTGTTAATAGTCTGGATCACATTTCCGAGCTTGAAAGAACTCGAAACATTGTACACGTAGTATGTAATAAATGTAAGGTCGGAAATGTGATCCAGACTATGAACGGGTATATATTGGATCAATATATTTACAATTTATGGAAAGAACTCGAAACATTTTACACGTAGCACGTAATCAGTGTAAGGTCGGAAATGTGATCCAGACTATGAACGGGTATATATTGGATCAATATATTTACAATTTATGGAAAGAACTCGAAACATTTTACACGTAGCACGTAATCAGTGTAAGGTCGGAAATGCGATCCATGTACGGGTGGATATTGGATCAATATATTTTACAATTTCTAACGGATTTTTTTTTTTATCATAAATGCATTTTATTTAATAGACTGTGTATTCGTTCTTGTTAATTACAATTCAGAGATGACAATGAGTAAGAAATACCCCAGTACGATATTGAATTATACTAGCTACGATTTTATTGGTAATACTCTTGATCCTACTAGAAATTGAGTACACTACAGGTCCTCCAAGAATAAGTATCTCTATCTTGATTTATACCAGTAAATTTGGAATTCTTATTTGTACAAGTAAAGTTCTGGACCCCCATTGAATTTCAATTTATAATGTAACATTTGTATAATATGTACACATTTTCGCCAATAGAAGTACTAAGTTTATTTACAGACGTATAAATATTATTGCTTATAAAAGTCAGACCAATATAATAATAAAATCCGATATGAAAAGAAATAGTAAGTTTATTTTGGTCGTAAATATTATTGTTTATAACAAGTCAGCCCAACATAATAATAGATTTCAATATAAATAGAAGTGCAAAGTATATTTTCAGCATAAATATTATTGTTTATAACAACTTAGACAAATATGATTGGCTGATAAATATTGTTATATTAACACCAAGGCAATGTGAATAAACTAACCATATATACACACATATGATATACATTTAATAAACTCACCATAAATACACACATATGATATACATTTAAGGTGGATCATCACTATACATTTCCTCAGATAGAATTTTTTTATACTTTGCAAAAATGGAGATTGCCCCATGCTTTTTTTAAAAATATAATCAAAAGTATGAGTCACCGTGCTATTTTTCAAGCTACAAGTCGTCCATAGATTATTCATGAAAAAAAACCACTTTTTTGAGAATAAAAAGAGTTCTATGAGATAGAATGTTAAGCTAAAATATGAGAAGATAGGTTTTATATTATTCTTTAAGAAAATAAAAGAAAAAATGGGTTCACCGAACTTGTTTTCTTGCTACAAGTAAAATCTGAAAAATTCACTATCATTCAAGTATATAATGTTTACTTTAAGAGTTATCTCCCCTTATATGGCTAAGTTGAAAAATTGAATCAAACAAAATTGTAAGTATTTGTTAAAACAGTCTAAATAATGCAATAAATCAATTATTTTTCTTTATTTTAACGAACAGTCTTAAACCTAAATTGCCAATCGGTCTTAACATTTGCAGATCTATGCAAAGGACTAGACCGATTGTGTACTGCTATTATACAATCCAAGATGGTGGTATACAGTTAATCTACCTTAAGTAAAGATGAAACGGTACCAAAATCCCTTTGCGACATTTTGCGTTTCTGTAGTTTTTATTTTTTTTTTTATATTTCTATTTGTTTGCACAATATTTTAAGCTATTCGTAATGGAAATTAATATTTATAAAGTAGAAAAAATAAAAAAGGAAATGTCCGTGAGGTCGCTAAAGAGAGACGAAAGATACAAAAGGGATGTTCAAACTCATTATTCGAAAGCGAACTGATATGTAATAGTAAAAAAACGAAAAACGACCAAAAGATAAACAACAGTATACAAAACACAAAATAGAAAACTAAAAATTGAGCAACACAAACCTTACTACTATTTTTAACTTCATTTACATGTTACCATAAATAGCTATGAATGAGTATAAATAAAACTTCTGGAGGCAAAATTCCTCTTACTAAGGGTATGTCGTTTGTGCATAATACTCCTTTTTAAAGAAGCGGTAAAAACAATCGGCGGGTTAGCCTATTTACCTTCAATACCTTTGTGTGAGTATAACTATCAGGCGACACAAAGCTTCTGACTGATGATCTTTTACTTGGAGTTGAGGGATGTCTTTATAAAAATAACCACATTATTT